CTGATTCCGGATTTCAGCTCAGATCATGATTCTCATGGTTCGTGCCTGCTTGGGATTCTCTCTCCTTCTCTGTCCCTTCCCCACTCACACATGTGTACTCCCTCTCTCTCAAAATAAACTTTAAAAAATAAAAGAAAGAAAAACTCTTTGACATGGCCTTGGCAATGATTTTTTGGATGTGACATCTAAACCAAAAGTAACAAAATAAAAAATAAGTTAGTGGAACTGCATTAAACTAACAGGTTTCCGTACAGCAAAACAATCAACAAAGTAAAAAGACAACTTTACAAAATGGGAAAAAATATTTGCAAATCATAGAGATAAGGAACTAATATTCAAAATATCCAGGGATGGCAAACCATGAGAGACTCTTGAATGCTGACAAAAACTGAGGACTGATGGATGTGGGGGGGAGGGGGGGATGGGCATGGAGGAGGACACTTATGGGGATGAGCACTGAGTGTTATGTGGAAACTAATTTGACAATAAACTATTTGTAAAAAAAAAATAATAAAAAAATAAAAATAAAAGTTAAAAAAAAACCAAAAAACAAAAAACAAAATATCCAGGGATGCCTGGGTGGCTCAGTGGGTCAAGCATCTTTTTTGTAGATTTATGTTTTATTTGAGAAACTGAGCATATGTGCATGTGCACGCACATGAGTGGAAAAGGGGCAGAGAGAGGGGCAAAGAGAGAATTCCAAGCAGGCTCTGCACGGTCAGCCCAGAGCCTGACATGGGGCTTGAACTCACCAACTGTGAGATCATGGCCTGAGCCAAAATCAAGAGTCAGAGGCTTAACTGACTGAGCCACCCAGGTGCCCCAATTAAGCATCCAACTTGACTCTTGATCTCAGCTCAGGTCTTGATCTCAGGGTCATGAGTTCAAGCCCCACCTTGGCCGCACTGCTCACTAACCCTAACCGGCTGGGTGTGAAGCCTGTTTATGCACAAACAAAACCCCCCCAAACTACAAAATATCCACAGAAGACTAAAACTCAATACCAGAAAGCCAAGAAATACAATTAAAAGATGGGCAAAAGACCTGAATAGAACAGTTCTCCAAAAAAGCTACAGGAAAGGCCAACAGCCTGACAAAAAGGTGATCGGCAGCACTATCCCTGGGGAAGTGAGTGTCACAACCACGGGAGGATAGCACCTCACTGTGCTAGAACGGCCATCATGGAAAAGACAAGGACACCAGTCCTGGCGTGGACGTGGAGAAGAGGGAGTTCTTGGGCATTACTGGTGAGACCGCGAACAGGTACAGCCACTACAGGAAACGGTATGGAGTATCCTCCACAAAATTAAAAATAGAACTCCTGTATGATCCAGCAGTTCAACATCTGGGTGTCTAATCTGAAGAAAACGAAAACATTTTCTTGAAAAGTATCTGCACCCCCATTTCAAAGCAGCATTATTTACAACAGCTGAGATATGGAAACAGCCCAAGTGTCTACTGACAGACAAATGGATAAAGAAGTTCTATACAATGGATTATTCAGCCATAAAAAATTAAGGAAGTCCTGCCATTTGCGACGATGGGGGTGGACTTTGAGGGCATTATGCTAAGTGAAACAAGACAGAGAAAGACAAATACTGTATGATCTCCCTGATATGTGCAATCTATAAACCAACAACATCCATAAAAACCCCAAAACCAGTCAAAGAGGAAGAGATCAGATCTGCGGTTACCAGAGCTGGGGGTGGAAGGTCAAGAGGAACACACGTGCAGTTATGAGGCGCAGAGACCCCAGGGGTGTCAGGACCAGCATGGGGACCACAGCTCACAATGCAGCGTGGTCTATGTGAAATGGTGACCAGATCCTGAGAGTTCTCGTGAGGAAAAGCTTTTCTTTTTTTGCTTTCTCTTTTTATTAGATCTATATGAAACAATGGACACTAGCTAAATGTACTGTGGTAATCACTTCACAGTATACACAAGTCCAACCATGTTATGATGATGTATGTCAGTTCTCACTCACTGAAATGGGAAAAAGAACACCTTAAAAATAAAAACAGCTGACAGGTGGCAGTGCTTTAACGTGAAATATCAGTAACAGCACTGATACTAATAACCACCTGGGTGGCTCGGTAGGTTAAGTGTCTGACTCCTGGTTTCAGCTCAGGTCATGAGCTCATGGGTCGGTGAGATCGGGCCCCGTACTGGGCTGTGAGACCAGAGCTGGCTTGGGATTTTCTCTGTCCCTCTCCTGCTCCCACTCTCTCTCAAAATAAACAAATATTAAAATAAATAACAATGTATGGGTGGCCTGGGTGGCTCAGTCATTTGAGCATTGGACTTTAGCTCAGGTCATAATCTCATGGTTCATGAGTTTGAGCCCTGCATCGGGCTCTGTGCTGACAGCTCAGAGCCTGGAGCTGCTTCAGATTCTGTGTCTCCCTCTCTCTCTGACCTTCCCCTGTTCCCCTACTGTCTCTCAAAAATAAACATTAAAAAAAAAAACCCAAAACAAGAAAACAAACACTGCTGCTGTTTTAAGCAAGGGACCGCAGGTTCTGAGAGAGGATGGAGGGGAAGAGAGCCGTGCTCTCAAAGTGTTCGCTCTAGGCCGGGCGTCCACTGTGACTGGGGAGCTTGTGAAAACTGCAAGTTCTGGGGTCTCTGTCCAGACCCACTGATTCAGAAGCCCTGGGCGTGGGCCTGGTAATCCACATTTTAACAAGTTAAATACTAAAATCTGAGAAGTGTGCTAGAGGAAGACAACAGACGTGTAAGTATGTTATTTCAACACAGATGTAAACAGTGGAATAAACAGCTAAGCACTGAAAAGCTTTGTTTCTGGAGAATGAACATTTGACTGCATTAAAAAATAATCATAACCTAATAAAAACTACTTCAAGCTACGTACGTGTCTGGTAAAAAATAGTAACAGTTTTAAGAATTTCTGCTTTAGCGGCGCCAGGATGGCTCAGTCACTTAAGCGTCTGACTTCAGCTCCGATCAGTGATCTCACGGTTTGAGATCTGAGCCCTGCATTGGGCTCTGCCGATGGTTCGAAGCTTGGAGCTGCTTCAGATTCTGTGTCTCCCTCTCTCTCCTGTCACTACCCTGCTCATACTCTGTCTCTCTCTCCCTCAAAAATGAACTTTAAAATATTTTTTTAAAAAAAAATAATAAAAAAAAATTCCTGCTTTAGAGACAGACTATTTACTACACATGCACGGTGCAGAATGCTCTAGGCTGAAAACTAAGTGCTGTACGGAAGGGATGCTATGCAGAGAGCAACTGGGTTGAGCTCTTTGCAGCAAACAGGGTGATAATGAAGAGTAAGACACATCAAAGAGTAACGGCGCAGACCCCAAGTGTGGCGTGTGCACGCACCACTGTGGGGCTCCTCACACAAGTCAGGGAGACCCGGGGCCTGGTCCTGCCTCTGGCACTTGCCAGGAATAAGGAGGGTTAGATTAGTTGTCTTTGAAGATCTTTCCAGCTCTCAAATTCTATGGCTTTGAGGAGAGGCCTGCTAGATCTTTCTGGGACTACTGTACATGAAAGGGACCCCAGGCTGGATAAAAACTACCCGCAGGGAACCTCAAAGATAAACACACACGCGCACACACGCACACACGCGCACACACACACACTTTTTTTAAGAGAGCACAGGTACGTGAGCAGGTGAGGGGCAGAGAGAGAGGGAGAGAGAGAATCCCAAGCAGGACCCACACCATCAGCACGGAGCCTGATGTGGGCTTGATCCCACCAACCGTGAGATCGTGACCTGAACGGAAACCAAGAGTGGGATGCACACCGAGACACTCGGGCGCCCCTCAAAGAGCCACTGCTGGTGCGCCCACGTGCACAGCGTGACTGACACCCGCCGAAGCAGGAGGCGCCCCGCACCCACCGACGTATGCGTGCCTACCGCGTGGTAGGACGCAGCGTCATTCAGCCTTCACAGGGAAGGGGACTGACACGCGGCACAACAAACACGAGGGCGCTACGGGAAGTGGAAGGAGCCAGTCGCAGACACACAAGCCCTGCGTGGTTCTACCTGGGGGCCCGCAAAGCAGGCAGAGGCACAGGCAGGAGGTAGGGCGGTGCTGGCCGGGGCCGAGGGCGGGGGTGGGAGGGAGTCAGTGCTCAGCGGGGTCGGAGTTTCAGCTGGGAGCATTTCAACAGCCCGAGAGAGGCGGGGTGATGATGGTGGCACACTGACGTCGATGTCCTCGAAACCACTGAACTGTACACTTAACACTGGGTCAGCTGGGTAAACTTTGTATGTACTTTGCCAGGATTAAGACAACACGCGCCCCTAGAAAGGAAGAAGCAACGGGCCACGGCCACCTCCCCGGCTGAGCCCTCCTCACGGGCAGAGGGTCCACGCGTAACTTTATAGGGCAGGGTTCAGTGCAGCCGTCATGCTGCTATACTGCCCTGAGCTACTCTTTGTTTTACTGGTTTCCGGTCGCTACTTTGTCTCCGCGTCCCTTCCCTTATACAGCTCGTAGCCCGGCCAGGGAGAGTATATGGTGGGGGGTAAGAATACTCATGAATTATACTGAGTTTTAGAAGTATGTCTCTTAGGTTTTTGACAGAAACCCTCCTATCTTTTTGCTTTTGTTTATGAGTTGTTGCTTTTTTAATCTATTTACTTTTTGGGCCATGCTAATTAATGTCACTATGATGGCAAATTGGTCAAATGATTAGGGTGGTGGACTGTCAGGGCAGTGGCTGGGGAGTTAACCTGGGCCTGATTACTGGCTCTGCCACCTAACTGCTTTGTGACCCCTGTGCAAGTCAAACACCTGTCAGCTTCTTTCACATTAGTAAAAAGGGGACAAACCTCCTTTGTGGGGGGGGGGGGTAGTGCAGGGGATTGAAAAATTTAATGATGTAATGAAGAGACATACTCAAAACACATGCTCATTAATGCTCCTTCTAAGCCCGTCATTCCATGGGGAATGCACCTGTGCTTTCCAGTGAGCCTGGGAAAGGCAAACAGGGCCCACCCACCATGTCACGGAAATGGGGTGTACCTTATTGTCTCCGCCCGAGACAGCCAGGATGTTGGCCGTGATGGACCAGCTCACGTGCCACACAACGTCATTGAACTTGTGCAGCAGTCTGGGTGACCACGTGTTGCTTGAGACTTCGTCACAGGTCCAGATGAACACGCGACCATCCTAGGAAAAGAGGCTCTAGTCAGGGAGGGAGGGCAATCTGGAGCCACGCTGGACTTTGGCAGGAAGGGGGTGGGGGACTCAGCACACAGCGCAGCCAAGGCCCTGCTGGGAGTGCACCGCTGTGATGGCCCACGTCCAGCCCAGCAGCCTTGCCTTTACCCCTTCACCGCAGGGAGCACGTTTCACATCCGTCGACTCCCCCAGGTTCCTGTGCTAACATTGGTTTCAGGTATGGCCTTTGCGTTGCTAGCTCTAAAATTCTCTCTGGGTTTTCCTCATGTCTGCCCAGTCCCCTCCTTTTTTGGCTCCCTTGGGCTCGGTCTATATTTTCTTAACCAAATGACTATGGCTGTCTATAAACCAAGCTCGGAGAATGAGAAGGGACAAGTTTAAAAAGTCCCTCTCAAATTTAGGAAGAAACATACCAGGCTCAAATGAAGGCTGGCTTAAATTTTGTCTATGGTGGGTGAGCACATAATTAAAGGCTTGTCCTTGGACTTTCTTTTGTGGTCTGTGAAGACTCAATAGGTAGGTGAGTCCAGGATCTTAGAACTTGCCGTCGCCCCTGAAGCCTGCCTGGGAACTGTCGGAACGCACCTGGGCAGCTGTTTCCCAGCTGTACAATGCCGACGAGGGGAAATTGGCCCCAAATCTGGCCCAGCTCGTGGCTCAGCAGAGGCAAGTCACTTGTACCTTTCAATCGAGCCTTCTCCACAGGATGACCTGGTCCTGGTGCCTGTTGCGCTGCCCTTACCTTTAAGTCTTTACCCGCGGGGACTGTAAGGGCTGACGCGACTCACTCAGAGGCTAACAACACGGGAGGCTCTCACGGGTCTGGGCTGACCTGGGAGCAGCTGGCGATGGTGCTGGTGGGCAGGCCGATGGAGGGGGCCCAGGCCACGTCTCGAACCCAGTCACTGTGCGCTTCCAGCTTCTGCTCCTCCTTCCACTGGCCGTCTTCCTCCTCCCTACCAGGGGAGATGAAAGGAAGGAGCAGCCGGTGGCTGCCCTGGTGTTTTCCCACACCTCCGTTCCACCCCCACCCCGTGGGCCCTGCAGGGCCCAAGAAGCCCTTGCATCTTTCGAATTTCATTTGCTGACCTTGAGATTTTTACTCAGTTCACCAGCTACAGAGAAACCCTCCAAGAAATGCTCTGTTCCCTCACACCAATGGTGCTGGCAGTTGGGAAGTAGGCGAAGAATGAAAGTGCCTGAGCAAGGCCAAATTGTTTTTAAAGGATGTCATCTGACAGACTGAAAACAGTACTCTATGGGCCAGAGGGGAAAAAGGGTGACCTTGTTTCCCGTGAAGTGTGGCTGAGTCCCTGTAGGGAGGGTGCAAGGGAAGAGGTGACCCCTTGAGGGGAAGCCCACCAACCCCACTTACTTCCACAGCTTGATGAGGTTGTCGCAGCCGCCCGACGCAAACTTCTTGATGTAGTTGGGCTTCTGCCCCGATGGCTGGTCTATGAGGCTTCCAGGTACAACGGCAGGCGCCCAGCTGACGGCATTGCAGCCGATCTGCAAGGATGGGGAGGGGGTGACTTCGCCCTCTTGACTTCCAGCAGAGCCTGCTTCTGCAGACCCAGGGCTACAGTTCGGTTCCCCCCCGACTCTCAGGACAGGACTACGTACGACAGCTGTTCTGATGAATTACTGATCAGCCACCATAGTGCTCTTTCAAGGAGCCCTAACAGTGCGTTTAGTTTTCAGCAATATATTTAAAGTAGGAGGGACTCCAAGGAGTTTAAAAAACACAACAGTTTTCAAAAACCTGAAGGGAGGCACAGATTCAGAGTATCATGTCAAGTAAGTCCATGGCTTAACGAATTAGTCTAAAGCACTCTTGTAACTACTACTGGTTCAAGATATCGAATTACCATTTACCCAAGAAGCCTTGTAATTAGGTCCTACCTGAATCACAGCCCTCTTCCCCAATAAGTAACATTTTCCTGACTTCTAATTTCTTACTTTTCTTTGACTTTTGTTACCCTAATATGCATCCCTAGACACCATAGTTTAGTCCCACCATTTAAATTTTTAAAAATCTTTTTTACATCTCATTTATAGATGCCCCCTCTGAGCTTTTTTTTTTTTCCCCTTACAATTTGTCTGTTGAAGAAAGACCAGTCATCTGACCTGCAGTATCTCAGGCCCATTTGCAGTTTCTTACTTGTTCAACACTTTCCTCTGAATTCCTGAAGATTGTCAGCTGGATCCTAGACTGGATCAGACTCAAGTCTGACCCCTTTAAGACGACCGGCAGTAATGTATTCTTTCAGCGGAAGGCAAATGACATCAAATTGTTTTTTTTATGTTATTAGCATCTGTCAACAATTTATGTCTCTTTCAATCACTGGACATTACAAAATGGTGGTAACTCCAATTGTATTCCTATCTTTGTCATTTATTATTAGGAATAAGCTAGACAGGGGCAATTCCCCTCGTTAATATTTGGCTCCCCATGGGTACAGATCAATCAGGAAAGGTAGGACAAATGCTTGACACTTTCTGAACTGGTTTCCTACCGTTCTTCAAAGTTGATGGATTCTTTCTTTTATATATCATTATGAACTCATGCATTTAAGCATATTTGATGGGTTTCAGTTCATTTTTTTGACACCTCAACTGCAGTGTGTTCAAACTGGCTCCTCTGACATAACTCCAGTATGTCACAATATGTCTCTGGTTATTTCTGTTGGGTAGGAAATGACATCACAGACTCCTCCTGTACATTTCCCCCCCAGAGCTAAGATCAACCACTTCCTCAAGAATTAGGGTTTCTTGTGGAGGTTCCTCAAAAAATTAACAATAGAACTCCCCTATGACCCAGCAAGAGCATTGCTAGGGATTTACCCAGGGGACACAGGAGTGCTGATGCATAGGGGCACATGGACCCCAACATTCATAGCAGCACTTTTAACAATAGCCAAATCATGGAAAGAGCCTAAGTGTCCATCAACTGATGAATGGATCAAGAAGATGTGGTTTATCTATACGATGGAATACTACATGGCAATGAGAAAGAATGATATCTGGCCATGTGGATGGAACTCAAGGGTGTTATGCTGAGCTAAATAAGTCAGGCAGAGAAGGACAGATACATATGTTTTCACTCCTATGTGGAACAGGAGAAACTTAACAGAGGATCATAGAGGAGGGGAACGGGAAAAAATAGTTGGGAAGAGAGAGGGAGGCAAACCATGAGAGAGACTCTTGAATGCTGAGAACAAACTGAGGGCTGATGGGGTTGGGGGGGATGGGAAGGGGGGTGATGGGCATGGAGGGGGGCACTTGTGGGGATGAGCACTGGGTGTTGTATGGAAATCAACTTGACAATAAACTATAAAAGAAGAAAAAAAGAATTAGGGTTTCTTTTGGTAAGCAACTATTTCAAGACTATGATCCAGTGCTAGGGTTGCTCGCTGCCACATAATTATTTATCTCATCTCATTATACACAGGAGTCTCAGTCACTGCCAACGTATAAGGAAAAACATTAGGAAAAGCATTTGCAGCACTCTCCTCATTCTTTGCCACAGGTGTTGTTCTGGGGGGCGGGGTGGGTTCTATGTGTGTGGCACCAACATTAAAAGACCCTGATCTGCTCTGCTTGTGCCCACTACCTTAGCACATGGCCAGTACATCCTACACTCTGCCTTATAACCTTATTTGATCTTAGTTCTCTACAGGTAACTACACTTGATGACTTTCCAATCATTTTCTCGTCGGAGCTTATTCTCTAGTAGACACCTCAGGAAGGAGGAGAGGAAACAACAGCCCTTGAGTTGGAGCACAGCACGAACAGTCTGAGTCCTTTATCCTCCAAAATAAAGCCCTTCAGAAGGGTTTTGAGGTTTTATTGACATTAACTGCATATAAAGTGCACAACCTGATGAACCGTGACGCAGGTGTACTCCGTACAACTACCACTACAGCCAAGGTAACAGACATGTCTCAAAGCGCTGAAAGAAGACAACTGCCAGCCCAGAGCAGTCAGGGAAGGAGTGCAGAGCTGGAGGAGAGCTTTCCAGACAAGCTAAAGCTAATGAAGCTCATGACCAGTAAGCTCACCATGTGACAAATGTTAAAGGATCTTCACACTGAAAATAAAGGGTGCTTATTAGTAACAACAAAATATATGAAAATAGAAATCTCACTGGTTAAGGTAAAGATAGGAAGTTTGGTAGATTAATCACAGCTAAAGCTGGTATGAAGGTTAAAAGACAAAAGTAGTAAAAATAGAATTCCAATAATTAGTTAAGGGATACACAAGGTTAAAAGACATAAAATGTAATGTCAGAAACATAAAATGTAGGTGGAGGGAGAGTAAAAATGTAGCGCTTTAGAATGCATTCCTGTATAAGTTCTCAACTTCAAACAGACTGTTATAATTATAAATAAATGTAAGCCTCATGGTAGCCACAAAGCAAAAATCGATAGTACATACATAAAAGATAATGAGACAGGAATCTAAGCATACTACTAAACAAAGTCATCAAGCCATAAAGAGAACAAGGAACAGAAAAGAATATCCAGAAAACAATTAACAAAAACAGCAATAAGTACATATCTATCAATAATCACTTACAAGGTAAACAGTCTAATCCTCCAATCAAAAGACCAGATTAAAAAGCCAAGACTCATCTATATGCTGCCTGGAAGAGACTCGCTTCGCACCTAAAGACACATAAAGACTAAAACTGAAGGGATGGAATAAGATATTCCATGCAAATGGACGCAAACAAACCAAAAAAACCTGGGGTAGCAATGCTTAGGTCAGACAGAATAGACTTAAAAACAAAGGCTATAACAAGAGACAAAGAAGGTTATTCCTTAATGATAAAGGGATTAATTTTTAAAACTGGGAAAAATATAAACTCATGGAGACTAAACAACATGCTACTAAACACCCAATGGGTCAATGAAGAAATCAAAGAGGAAATGAAAAAGACCCGGAAAAAAATGAAAATGGAAACATAATGGTTCACAATTTTTGGGATGTAGCAAAAGGAATTCAAAGAGGGAAATTTATCGTGATACAGGTCTACTCAAGAAACAAAATCTCAATCTGACTTTATACCTAAAGGAACTAGAAAAAGAACAAAGCCCACAGGTGGTAGAAGGAAGGAAATGATAAAGATCAGAGAGAAAATATATTAAAGAGACTAAAACAACAACACAAAAGATCAATGGTTCTTCAAAAACATTAAAAAAAAAAAAAAAAAGATAAATCTTTGGCCAGACTCATCAAGAGAGGACTCAAAATCAGAAGTGAAAGAGAAGAAATTACAACCTGTACCACAGAAATACAAAGGATTATGAGACTACTATGAAAAATTATATGCCAATAAACTGAACCACCCAGAAGAAATGGATAAACTCCCAGAAATATATCATCTTCCAAGACTGAATGAAGATACAAAATCAGAGCAGAGAGACTACTAGTAATAAAATTGAATTGGTAATCAAAGGACTTCCAACAAAAGTCTAGGACTAGATGGCTTCACAGGTGAAATCTACCAAAATTCATTTTTTAAGATTTTATTTTAAAGTATTTCTACACCCAATGTGGGGCTCAAACTCACAATCCTAGAGATCAAGAGTTGCAAGCTTGAACCAGCCAGGTGACCCTCTACCAAACATCTGAAGAATGAATACCTGCCTTCTCAAACTCTTCCAAAAATAGAAAAGGAAGGTATTCTTCCAAATTCATTCGACGAGGCCAACATTACCTTGAAGAACTCATGCAACTTAACCTCCAAACAGATAATCTGATTAAAAACGGGCAGAGGACCTGAATACACAATTCCCAAAGACATACTGATGATGAACAGACACATGAAAAGATGCTCAGCATCACGGAAATGCAAATCAGAACTGCAATGAGAGAGCACCTCGCACCAGTCAGAATGACTGGTATCAAAAAGACAAATAACAAGTCTTGAGTATGTGGAAAAAAGGTAACACTTGTATACTGCTGGTGGGAGTGTAAATTGGTGGAGCCTTTATGAAAAACAGTATGGAGGTTCCTCAAAAAACCTGAAAATAGAACTTCCAGAGAGATCTCGAAGTTCTCTCTCTCTCCCTCTCTCTCTCTCTCTCACACACACACACACACACAGTATTATTCAACCACAGAAAATGAAATTGTAGCATATGCAACAACATGGACAGACGTTGAAGGCATTATGCTTAATGAAGTGAAAGACACTGTATGATCTCCCATATTTATATGTGGAATCTTAAAAAAAAAAAAAAAAAAGACAAACAGGAAAAACTCCATGCTCATAGATACAAAGAACAGATAGGTGGTTGCCAGAGGTGGGGTGTGAGGTGTGGGGTAAATGTGTAAAAGGGAGTCAAAAGATACAAACTTTCAGGTATAAAATAAGTCACAGGGATGTGACTATAGGTAATACCATCCTGTTTATCTGCAAGTTGCTAGGAGAGCATACCTTACAATCCTTATGATGAGAAAAAACTTTTTAAATTTATTTTTAAAAATTTTAAGTGTTTTTT